TAGTGAACAATAAACAAATGTCTCAGAAACAAGAGCAAGCATCACAGTAAGGAATAGATTTGTTGTCCATACGTATGTATCATACTGATGAGTTTCTAAGACAGCGGCAGAAATTACTTTATTTTTAGAGCATTATAAAATCACTGTTAATTATCACCACATGAATTCTACAGATATTAAAACTAAGAATTAACATACATTCTTTCAAAGGCAACAGCTTCTTTTTCCCACCTCCCCATTTCTCTGATCCCTTTAAAGTAACCTCTTCCTCACCATTTCCCCAGACTGGACTCTCATAGATTTCTACAACTAAGAGCTCATTCAAGTTCTTGTGCTGAGCCTCATGTAAGGAACCAGTTCCCTTGATCATTAAATCCACTGCACAGCACAGGGACAGGTGAATGACAACTGAAACAACATCCACATTTCTTCATGTGAGCACCCACACTCTGACTGCTCCCTGCCAAGGAGGCAGCTTTCAGAACACACTCCTTACCAGACCACAAAGGATTGTCAGTGTGGCCTAAGCTGGCTTAGGAACCTGAGGAAGGGGAGAAAATGACACATTTTGCTGTTTATTTGCAAAACACAGAATTTAGCAAGAGCCCAAAGCTTTATGAATGCAAGCAGCGTTATTAGTGCTAACAACTGGCAATTTAGTCTGTGTTGTGGAACAGTGCAATTCATTTTAAGGGAGCATCTTGTTACTGTATAGTGCATGAATTAGACACATTTGTAAAGGGTGTAATCAAGAAATAATTCACGTAATCATTTTGTTCAGTGGGGCATAGCTATGTGATTTATATACATGGGATCAAGGAACAATTAATGCAGCCCTTCCAATAGAAGGAAGAGCATAATTTTCCCTACTTCAGAACAGAACTCAAACTTGTTTTTAAAAAAATAAATTTCATGTTCCAAGAGATGAAACTGAAACATGAAAAAATTTGCAGCTTTCTCAGCACATGTGTCCCCAAAATGAAACTAATTTCTTAGTGTCAGTGCAAAAGCCTTTCAGTTTCTAAAAAGAGGAGGGACACATTTTCCTGTGGAAGGAGGGACTCCAGCTACTCTTTTTAGAAATGGACATTTCTGTTGCTGTCCCATCCTGTGTGTAAGTTGCCTCCCCACTCCCACCAGTCTTGGAGTGCCTCTACTTGTGTGCAGGAGCAGTGATGAGCTCCAGGGCTGAGTGTCCATGTCCAGTCCAGCTCTAACACACTGGGATATTGCACATGGAACTGAGCCTGGCAGGGAGTTTTAGGGCTGCAGAAAATACAGCAATTGGCAAATTCTGTAAGAATTTGAAGAATTCAAAGAAGAGAGACTAGGTCTCAAGCAGATCAGAAAAATAGTTTTGCTTCTGAAGGAGGTGTGAAGAATTTTCTTACAGGACTGAATTTGGCTGGGAAGATGCACTTGGCACTCTCCAGCAGATAAGCACCTGAGCTGTGAGCTCATGCAGCCACTGCAGGAGGTCAAGAAACCAAATTCCTGATTCTCAACTGGCAAACAGGTTTTATGAATAATTGTAGGGGTTTTTTTTGAAGGGGATGAAGGTGGTGTTTAAGCTGCCAGGAATTTACCTCAGCCTCAAGTGAAGTCATGACCACTGTCAAAGCTGTGGCCGTGTTTGCGTAGATAAACCCAGAGTTATGACTTCATGCCACCCAGGGGTCAGAGATTCCTGTGTGCTCTGTGCCTGTGCTTTCTCCGTTTAAGATTTATGTGACTTCTGAAGGGGAGTTGTAATAACCAGGGACCTATTCCAGACTTTGAACAAAGCTGGCAACTGCTTACAAAAGAAATGAAATCTCAAATATTCCTGTCAACAGCTGGACCTCTCCTTTCCTTACAGGGGAGACAACTTTTAATTATAAAATGAAAATTTTATGGTTATTTGACAGATAATCAATTCCATAAACTCACTGGTTTAAATCATAAAGAGAAAGCATTCCTTAAAAACAAACTTTAAATATCTCTTCAAGCCAAACTGTGTTTATATGGGACAGTTAGCACTGCAATAATGCATCACCAGCACCTGCAGTATAACTAAAGCAACACACTGGTACATAATTAACAACTTTCTTCCAATGAACCATAAGCAACACTTCATTTTGGAGTCTTTGTATTCTAGGAATTAAGGACAGGGTGCAGAGCAGCAGAACTCAGATAAGTGATAACCATAGCTGGGAAAAGGCGCAGTAAACAGAGCTGTGAGCAAACACTGTAGGCTGAAGTAGGAAAGAGCAAAGCACTCCCCCACACACAGCACTTTGCAAACAGGTGCTGGTTCATGCCACAATAGATAATAGTTCATCCAGAGGCTATTTTGGTGAAAAGGTACTTCCAAGTTCTTACATAATAATACTGAATCCTCAATAGTAAACATGTTTCCATTTAGATAGCTGGGGTATTTCATAGGTGTGGTTGGAGAGGGCTTGTTGGGATTTTTTACGTTCTGCTTAGAGTTCCAAAATTGTATCCAGTTAGTGTGCTACTTAAAAGTCAGAACTATGATTCTTTAATGTTTTTGTCAAGGGGGAAAAATGTACAAAAAACTTATCAGTCACATGCTGACAGATACAAGGTATGAGATGGGACTGCAGTGTGTATTTAAAAACATTAAAACTCTCACACACACTAGTCTAATATATATCACTTAAAAAGGATCTCTGAAAAGAAGTGTTCAGTATTTCAAGCTCACATTCTTACCAGTACAGCATTTAATCTTCTCAGTATGTATTTATTATACTTTCCTTCTTTGGAGAGTTGATTGTACATCTTAAGCTTCTACCAATCCTTGAGAGTTTTGCAGTAAATCTCATTTGTGTGGGGAGGGCAGAAAAGCCTGAGCAGTTTCTGAGGTGGCTGAGACCTCTAGTGCCCAGTCCCTTCATTGCATGGCTGATGTTTTTCTGTTCTCCCGCACTCAAAACAAAAAAAAGAAATTGCTCTTGTTCCTAATGAAGTGTTAACTACTGAATTGATTGGATAACTCATCCCTTTCAGTTTCTGCCTGTTCATGTTCCTACTGAAGAAGAAAAGAGTGATCCAATTCTTTTTGCCAACAGAGTCCGACAAACCATGGCAAAGTAAGTAATTGATCATCAGTAAAACCTCTGAGAACTGTTCTTTTATATCCAGCAATTCTATATACAGCCTAACCATAAAGTACAACTTAACCACGTTCTGGGTATTATACATAGGACTTGCTCTAGATTTTCACTAAGAGGTGTCAAAATCCTATGCTAAATTACCCCAATTGTTTTTACATGGAACACAAAAAAGATATACATTGGAACATAGTATGTTCAATTCATAGAAAACTGGAATAAAATTATCTCTCCTTGCTTGGAAAGGACAAGTGGGTGGTGGTTTGTTCTCCAGCATTACTGAGCTGCATTTACAAGACTGTAAATCTTAAAAGCTCATGGTGCTGCTATAACGTAGTTTCACGGTGTGGTTTCACAGGTTCAAGAAATGGTGTGTATTGCTTTGTCCTACTTGCAGCAGTGCAAGAATGAATTAACATTTGTTTTGCATATCAGAGAAGGGAAACTGCCTACAATAAGTTACTTTCCTATATAAGAAATTGATTTTGCTTTTCCTTGATTTTATTTCAGTGCTTTGAATTTGCCAGTCACTGATCACACTTTTGAAGATTGCAGACTGATGATTTCAGCAGGACAATTGACTTTACCCATGGAAGCTGGGCTGGTGGAGTTCACTAAAATTAGCAAGAAACTCAAGTAAGGGAAGTTTTATTACTTGGTAGCATAATTACTAAAGTGCTGTGGGTGTTGATGGCTATCTGCCAAAGGTTAAATAACCAGACTACAGACTTGGCCATGTGCAACATACTGTATTTAAGCATACAATAAGCTTACATAAATTACAAGGAACTCAGAGATGAGGAAAATCCCAGTAAGGACTAATCCCAAGCAATTTTTGTTGCCAGAGAAAAGATTGTTTTCACCAAAGGGTGAGAAAAGCAGAGCATTACCTATTTGAAGAATGTAATGGTAATCTTGGTGGAAATTTAAATTGCTTTAGTGGTGAGGCACTGACAGCTTGTGGCAGGAAGTAAAAAGCTTTCTTTCCAGCCTGAAACTTGAGCTTACTGTTCTTAGTTTTACTGTGGAGCCATGTGTCACTAGTGATGTCAATTTTTTCTGTCTGGATACAGTGGAATTTGAGGACTGAGCCATGTAACCATACTCCATCAAATAACCTGGCATGGCTGTGGTGAAATCTGAATGTGTCCAATAAATCTTGGCTTATTATTAAGTGCTATGTATCCATTTATAAATTCTATCTGGAATAGTTACATGGCAATCCCAATTATTCTTACTGAGGTGCAGTGGTGTTTTTTGCAGAGATCTGACAGTTCTGAGGCTCTAACAATACTGGTGTTTGGGTAGAGAGCTTGCTAATAGAGCTGAGACCTGCTGCCTCTGTCAAGGAAATACTTACCCTAGAGCATGATGCAGAAAAATACTGTTACACCTGAATTTATGGTAATGAAAAGCTCTCTGCTGGAGCAGCCTAGTAATTGGACAGACAATTCTAGGTTTGGGAAGTTATTCTGTGGAAGTCTGATGTACCCAGTCATAGAACTGCCTGCTTTTAATGTTAATAACCAGAGGGGAGCAGTCCTTAATTACTGATTTAAAGTCAAATATCTGGTCTGAAGTACAGCATTAGAAATGCTGTACACACATGCCCTGTTGGGTAGTTTTTCATCTTTGAACACTGTAATAACTCCTACTGAAATTCCATCTGTCCGAGAACTGCTGTATAGAAATATCTCCTCTCTCTCATGTTTGCATAGCCTAAAATGGAATCATGTCAGAGAGCAGCTGGATACTTTTGCTGCTATTGCAAGTGCTTCCAAAGGAGGAAGAATTGGAATTGAGGAGTTTGCTGAGTACTTGAAGCTGCCTATTTCAGATGTCCTCAAAGAGCTGTTTCTGCTTTTTGACAGGGTGAGTAATTGGTTAACTGATTTGTTGACAATATTTTGTTAGACATCACATACCAAAACTATATTTATTATAATTCATTATGTCCAGCTTAGTAAATGCTTCTTGGTTAACAGTTTCTGTAAGCAAGGTGGGTGACTCTTAAGTTTTTTTTCATAAGTTTCAGTGGAGACAATAGTTTTCATTAATTTCTGCCTTGTGAGATGGCAGCCATCCCTCAGGCCAAGTTGCTGCACCAGTATCAGATAATAATCTTCATGCTGGTAACAGCTGAATATTTTCTTTGGCCAACTGCAGATTTTGATCTTATGTACATTTTGATAGCTTAGTTAGCTGTTGTAATTAATTAGATAATTTAAGGCAGAGTGAAGCTAACTGGAGTGTTCACTGGAGCACTGCAGTGTTCCTGCTGTGCTTGTGAATGGTGCTGTTAGACCGTACAGGGACTCCTCTTGCTTCTCTCATCAGTAAAGGGGGCTGTGTGTTAACATGATCATTTAGGCTTTACCCCTGGTCAGTGCTAATCTCTCCAGTTTTCTTCTTCTCTCTGAGGATGACAGAAATGGCTGCATTTCTCTCTATACCAGAAGCATCAGTGACTAGAGCAGAGATAGAATTAATCTTACTTCTAGGCCTCCACTTGTGCTGCAGTGCACATAGCCTCTAGTCCTTTAGGTGCCTGTGGACTGGAGCTTTTCTGTTACCATAAGAGCTTTCCCAGCTGACCATCACTCTTCCTGATCAGTTGGCCTTAGCAGTACACCTGTCCTTGGGAGGCCATGGTACATGCTCCATAAAACTGTTTCGGGATCTTTCCACATAAAAAGCTTTTACAAGATCTAAAATAGGAAGGAGTGAAATGTATTTCCTGACCTGCTGAATGCCTTGAAGCACTAGCAGAGCTAGGTACTCATCCTTTTGTCATTCCTGCCTCCCCATCTTGGACCATTGGCTCCTGAGGTGTGTAGTCTGAGTCCTGAAGCACAGTACCTACATCAGAAATGTGCAGTGGCAACCAGAGTAATTAAGGGCAATCATACTCCTTTCACTTTCTTTATATGCTGCAACATCAGTGACTAGAACTAGTAAAGGAATGCTCAATTCACTAAAATTTTGAGGGACTAAAAGATTGTGAAAACAAAGAAGTGGAAGGCTGCGTTTGCCTTTAAGGAGATCAGCACAACTGAGGAACAGTCATGCTCATCTAACAGGGCTGGTTTCAAATTGCTTCAGGTATGAGCACAAGGATTCTGAGACATCTGCTCTGTGGGTTTCAACCTCATTATGTTTCTCTCTAAAATGGTTCCTTCCTCAAATCACATAAACATAACAATGCAAAGAAGAAAAGAAATAGGGGCGTATCTACACCTGACAGAAACTAGTGAGACGTAACTGGGAGCCAAAAACATGCACAGACATGGTGAAGTCTAAGCATGCAGATAAGCTGTGTTTTACCCACGCCCAAGTCAGACACAAAACAGCTTCAGAGAGCTACAGAACACTGGATCTCTGAGTAAGTCACTTCAGAAAATCTTCACGATGTTCCTTGCTAAAGCTTTGCTGAGTGGAGGAAGTGGAGGAAGTGGAGGAAGTGGTAAGAGTCGTGGAGGAAACCTTGTACGTGGCCTTGGAGGGCTCCTGACAGGAGGTGGAGGTGCAGGGAATATTGGAGGACTTGTTGGAGGTCTCGTCAACCTTATAAGTGAAGCGGCAGCTCAGTATAACCCAGAGCCACCTCCACCTCCTCGCAATCATTTTACAAATTTGGAAGCTCAGGAGAGTGATGAGATCAGACAATTTCGTCGCCTGTTTGCCCAGCTGGCCGGAGATGATATGGAAGTGTGTGCCACCGAGCTAAGAGACATCCTGAACAAAGTCCTCTCCAGACACCAAGACCTGAAGGCAGATGGCTTCAGCTTGGACACCTGCCGCAGCATGGTCGCCGTCATGGACAGCGACACGAGCGGCAAGCTGGGCTTTGAGGAGTTCAAGTACCTGTGGAACAACGTCAAGAAGTGGCAAGGAGTGTACAAGCAGTACGACACTGATCAGTCAGGCACCGTTGGGAGAGCCCAGCTGGCCAGCGCCTTGAGGGCGGCGGGGTTCCAGCTGAACGAGCAGCTGTGCCGGGTGATCGTGCGCAGGTACGCCGCCGAGGACGGCAGCATGGACTTCAACAGCTTCATCAGCTGCCTGGTGCGCCTGGACAGCATGTTCAGGGCCTTCAAGTCCCTGGACCAGGATGGAAGTGGCCATGTCAGAGTGACCATTGAAGACTGGCTGCAGCTGACCATGTATTCGTGAAGGCAAAGAAGAGGCTTTGTGTGGAAGATGCACCTGGAGGGCTGCACTCCTCTGCTACACTGCTGTGGGCTTTGCCTTTAGTCTTTCTAAGGCAGATGTAGCAGTAGATGGCTCAGCCTCAAGTGTAGTGATTCCTCTTGTGCATGCACTAGTCTGCTTTTCTGAGGGGTTTCTGTAGGTTGTTTGGGCAGTTGCAAAAATTAAGAAAATTCTAAACTTTAAGGTTAGGGAATATATTAGAAAGATCAAAGCTTAGTTACTGTTTCATGTAAAGTGGCTTGTACAACTATTGCATAAAAAAGATCCCAAGTTTGGTGTTGATGTTGATGTTGCTGTTCTGGTTTGTCAGCAGTCACTAAGCTGGAATAAATGCTGTTTGCCTGAAGGCAGTCACTCGTAGAGTCTTGTGCAGTTATTTCTAACAAGGGGAACAACATTAGAGTTGCAGTAACTGTAATGATCAGTGAACTTACATAATCATTCAATTTCCTTTCTACTTCTGCTTTTTCATGCTTGATTGCTGAAGCAAAACCTCACTTTTACTGTCAGTTCTATCTGGTGGCCAGGACAAAATTGAAGACTTAAATGAGGCTACCTCTGCAATGATCTCCTTCCTACAGTTCCATGAACTAGTCTTTTCTCTCTTTCCTTCAAGCCTAAACATAGTTATAAAGCAAACAACTTAAAATACTACATTTATATTTAGAGAAACTTGAAATTATTATGCAGTCACATAGCAGAGAGACAGCCAAAGTCAACCTTTGGCTATCTGAGTGAAATTTCATCAGAGTGCAGCATCCCACTCAAGGTAGTTATGCAGTTTTGGCTAAGATGAAAACTTCTGAGTAAAAAAATAAAAGGAATAACATGAACTGTCAAAAGTGCATTTCTTTGAATTAAGAATTACATTGTTGATCAAAACAGCTCTTGCACAAGGCGGATTTCTTGGCAAGGCTCTGCTGCTTTAAACGAAAATTGTCTTGGGTGTGTGCGAGCTGGCTGGAATGTGAAAAGAGGAGTTAAATCGGCAGCCTGGCACTAGAGGCAGTCTCCAGATGTGAGAGAGAGCCTCTCTCAAATGCCCCTGCCTTTCCCCAGGGACACAGCAGTGACTCATTGAGAAATACCACACAATACCTGCAGGCCAATCTACACATTAATGGGGTGCTGTGCTTTGGTTTGATTTGGTCTGTAAGTTTCCATAGGTTTGATTTCTAAATCTTGCACTTGGCAAATAGTGTTTTTCAAATTGTTGAGATATCCTCCCTGGTATACTTGCGGAAACCTTTCACTTGAAACTAACTTAAAATTTGTGCCCAGACTTTTTTCCTCCTGCGCTTTGTTTAATAGCAAACAGAAAAATATTCTTACTATCCCAGAGAAAAGAGGCTAGTTCCTTCCTAATGGCATTCAGCTTCCTCCCAGTTCTTCAGTGGAAAAGCACTCAGTTATCCATTGTGCCATGAAGTGCCATTTGGGCTCTGAGTAGTAGAAAAGTGAGCAGGAGGTAAAGTGTGATATCCTCCTCTAGAGCATTGATGCAGTAGTACTTTAAGCTTTATACTGCATCTGGCTTGCAGTCCCTGTGCAAATCTAAATGGAGAATGCTTATGACAGTGCAACTTTCTTGTTTTCCAAAATCTAAGATTTACTATGTTATATAAAAAACCAACAACAAAACCCCAGTTACCACAGCATGCTATAGGGAAAATAGCAGCAGAAAGCTGGCTTCCTTAGAGAAAACAGGAGTTCTGAAGGTTACATTATGCTTTGATTCCTTTGTGTAGCATAACTACAAATACCCAAATTCTGATGTTCTACTTTACCATGTAGAGAACTGGAGCTTAGTTCACACATTTTTTCCTTAAAATATTCTTGGGTACGTACATAGGCTGCAAACACAGATATGCATAGAAAGACAATTGCAAGTGCTTTTTGCAATGATGTTACACAAGCACCTAAAGTTTTCCTGTATTTTCAGTTTAACTTCCATTTCTTTTCCCAGGCATCAACCCCATCATTTCTCCTTAACCAGAATGCCAGAGCATTTGGAAGTTAGCCAGCATCCCAGAGTTTAGTAGAACTAGTCACAACATGAACTTGCAAGGATATTGAACTCTATTTCCTACTAAAATGGCTGGAGTTCTGTCTATCAGATTGCACTCAGTTTTGATTACTGAGTTTTCACATTCTAATGAAAGTAATATGACCTTTATTTTGTCTTTTTTCGTGTCATATTTCCATGTGCAGCCACAGCTGTGTTAACTTCTTTCAGAAGTTGTTATTAAATTATTTTAAAGTTTACTTCCTAATTCTTTTACTGTGATACATATTCTTAGCTTTGAAAGTAAATTTTAAAAATATTCTAATCACATCAAACAATCCTTTGTTAGGAATACAGTCTGCAAAACTATCAAAAAATAATATTCTGTGGAACGTTGAACAGTTATTATCTCTACTGTTGCTTCAGTTGTTTTAAGACTTTATGTTTGTAATGTTACACTTTAAATTTAGATCTGCTACCTCTGAGAACTACAGTGTGAAGAAAATACTGAAAGTCAAACTCTGCACCCAAAGAGAGATTTGTAAATAAAACAATGCGTATGGGATAACATTGTCCTTTTCTAATGATTAAAAACTGTCAAAAGTTATAACCCTTAGACACCTATGAAAGTAACTTAAAAGTTCATATCTGTTTCATAGCACCCAAAATTTTCAAGCAGTCTACAGGGCAGCCTTAGTACCTCCCCTGGCAGTCTGCACTGTTCAGCAGCAGAAAACCAAGAGCAGAAAGGTTAAGGTTGGTATGCTCAAGTGGACATTAGAAGTTGGTAGGAGAGCCAGAAATAGAATCCTGGTCTGGCTCTTTGCTGCAAATTTACCCAGCTGACCACCCCTCACTCACTTGGCTGGAAAAGTTTTGTGTTGTTCTCAAACATAGGGACTCCACTTCTTGAGAAAATGTTTTTCTTGTTGAAATGCAAAACATATTATCCGCAAAGGGAACTCTGCTTAACACTTCAGTTTGCTTTTAAAACATTTTTGATGAATGCCCTTATTGTGAATATTCAAAACAATGTCTTCTTGTCTACTTGTCATCTCTGTTACGCTGTCATAATCTGCTCTGTGTCCCACCATGTAAGTTTTGCAGGTGGCCTTTGCCCAGACAGATGTTTCCCAAAACACTCAAGAAACTTCCAGTGTGGTGACAGAAACACTACTGACATAAGCATGGATTTCATCAGGCATCTGCCATTCTCCCTGTCTGCAAATGTAATGCAGCTTACACAGAATTAATCACAAATCCCATCAAAGCAAGCTTCAAATGTTTTGTTGATGTAACTTTGTAGTTAGCACATTGAAATGTTTGTTCAGATCAAAACTGGAATTATTACAGAGGCTGTTCCAATGAATTCCTTGCCTTTCTGGCTTAAAAGGTAGGACAGTGCATTGGCTTCCAAATAGCATGTAGGGCAGTGCACAGGCTTCAGAGGAAAGCTTAAGATAAACCAGGGAGATCTGGGTGTCCTTTCACTGACATATATTTTATTGCTGAAGGTTCAAACTCAAAACAACAGCCTCACTCTCAGCCTGTTGATTCTGCTTTGTCTTGCATTGGTCTCTGAACTTCAGCCAGTGCCAGTGCTGCATGCACTGGTACAGTTACCTCAAACACATGGATTCCAGTTATTCTTAGAGCCTTCTTGAAGGCCATGTACTAAAGACAAACTTTAAGTTGTTTTAAATCTTTTTTGTTTGTGCTTTGTTTGTTCATAAAATAGAAATCTATACCCAGTTTGTAGCTACTGAAAACATGTATGTTGCTACTCCAGCCTTAGTATTACAGATTTAATGAGCTCTTAGGTTTTTACCCAGGAAGAACAAAAACCCTCAAGTATTGTAAACTGTCGTAGTGCATATGTTGTGTTTGATTCACAGAAGAGCTTTTAAAGTGATTTGCAGTATTAAATCTAACTGCTGCCATGCATGTTTGGTTACAGAATGGAGATGGCACCATTGACTTCAGAGAGTATGTGATTGGTTTGTCTATCCTCTGTAACCCAGCCAACACAGAGGAGACTATTCAGATGGCATTTCAGGTAAGTTCAATTTAGTGTAAATCTACAAACCTGACAAATCAACACTGACTCTAAGTCTGTTAGCTTTCAAATCATAAGTTTATAGCTTCAATCTGTTATGCAAATGTGAGTAATTCTCTTAAACCAATTGACATTTAGAGTGTGAAAGGGAGGGGAAGAATTGCAGGCATCATAGAGAAGAGTTTCAAAAGCCATCTAAAGGCACTAATGAATATGTAACTTGGCAGGCTAACTCCAAAAATGATTCAGCAGCACTTGTAGGTTTTTTTGCCTGAGGTTTTTTTCTGCTGTGATTCTTCAATGTCACAATAGATGGAGTAATACCCTCTTGTGGGTCAAGCTTCACTAGAGTCATTGTTCTTAACAAAGAGGAGGAATAAAAATAATCAAGGGCTGTTCAGGACTGGCACATTGAAAACTGGGCTGCATCTAAGAGCTGCTGGCTTGTCCTCTGGTGCCCTGCTGGTACAGGCAGTAAAGGAGCAGTAGCCCTTTTCACATCTCAGGTACATGCAGACAATACATGACCAGGCATGCCCATGTTGTGAATCCTTGGCTCTTTTTTTAGTAGCTCTGACACAGATCCAGTTGTTTTACCCATTAATCTGGTCTTATGAACTGTATTGAACAACATATTGAGATACCACTCATGTTCATTGTAAGCTGGATGCTTACTAGTACTGATGCATACTTGGGAAGTACCAGAGATTTTTTGGCAATCCATTATATCCACTGGCTTCTTTTCAGATAAGCACCAGAGCTTTTCAAGGCCATTTGTTAATTTTTGGGGACGTTTTATCAGTACAGATTCCAATGAAGAAGCAAGCCTACCAGCTATTGTTGCTGTTCCATTGTGTTGTTTCCTATACTATACTGTTCAGCATGTTAACAGGTGTGCTGATTATAAAATCAGTAATTTGTTTTAGTTTCCAGTTTCAGCACAAAACAACTCCTTTAGCTGGTAAAAGCCTGCTTCAGTCTAAAATGGAACTGTGGGTTCCTTTTGCTACTTGTTTTCTGTGCCACTAAATGTCTTCTCTTTCACAATGGCAAAGTTTGCCTGTAGCAAGTATTTAAGAATTACAGCCATCCATGCCTTGTATTTCTCCAAGGGTGATTCACAGCAGATGGTTACTGTCACTGCACTGGGCAGGATGGGATGATCAGTGTACATCAACTGCCTGCATTCCAGGAACCAAAACTCCTTGTTAATTACAATTAATTCCTTAGTGAGTGATCAATCACATACACTAAAATTTAGGTATGTCAGAGCATGAACTATGATAGCAAGTTTAATCTGACAGCAGATGTGCTATAACCTAACAGAAATGGTGACTAAAACTGAAGATGTTCCAGTATAGACTGGCTGAATCCAGTAGATTCTTAGCATAGCTCATGGTGGCAATAAACATATATCTTTGTTTATGTTTTATCAGTAAACCAATGCTGTGAGTTTTCTTTGTTTGTTTAGGCAGAATGCTCTATTCCCAGCTATAGCGTGGACATTGCTCTGCAAAGTGTCTGCTTAGTCTTATTCCAGACTCTCCAAATCCCAGGCATTGTTCACAGAGCTGCTGAGTGCTAGAAGGGCATGATGAGTGGCTAATGTGCACAGAGGGTTCATAGGGAAAGTGATGCCAAAGTATTTCTACACATTTTGTCTCTTCCAGCTCTTTGACTTGGATGAGGATGGCACGATAACAGAAGGTGAATTTGCTTGCATCATTCAGTCAGCACTGAGGCTGCCTGACCTTGATGTTTCTGCACTCTTTAAAGAAATAGATGCAGATGAAACTGGGAAGGTCTCCTATGGTAAGTTACATCCTTTTGTTAGAAAGAATTCTCTCATAGTCATATTGACAGGGTTTTTTTTTTTTTTTGATTCCCTCAAATTCCCTGATGGTTCTCATACCTTGTTTCTGGGAAGAACTGTTGAAGCACAGACTTAGATACTTTGTGTCATATTCCTGTGTTTTCTTAGAGGGAACTAACTTGAGATCAGCTTCAGTAAAAGGAGCAGGCATTGAAATTTTCTTTGTTTCTATTGCTGCACTATAATATCTGTGTTTTTTAATGTTTTTCAGAGGAGTTCAAGAACTTTGCACTCAAGCATCCAGAATATGCTTCATTGTTTACTACATACATAGATCTACAGAGACACCAGTTAGGTATGTTTGAGGAGCATAACACTGAGCCACAAGCCCTGATCTCAGAAACAACACCACTTGCGAGAAATAAAGTCTGTCCAGAAGGCGGTGAAGATAGCTCAACTACCTCTGACAAAAAGGATGACTGAGAAGAGTTAAATAACTCAGCTCTTGAATTCTACAGAATTTTTTCCCCCAGCTGTTCATAAGCACAACTGATGTAAAGTAGAGATGGAAGTTACAACTTAAAAAAAGTTTGGCTTTTTTTTGTTTGTTTGTTTTCATATCAGAAGGAGTTATTCCTGTTTGATTGTAAGGGAAAAACCACTGTTCAATCCTTAATGTCAGTATCACAGTACTGGGAATGTTGTTCAGTGTCTTCCAAGTTCATGCTTCCACAGAAGTAACAGGTGTGCTACGAGGGGTGCGAGGCTCCAGCACTGCAGTGACCTCTCAGAACGGAGACTGAGGAGTCCACTTGTCTCAAAACAAGTGGTATTTTTGGTGCTGCTCAATTCCTCTACATCCCCAACATCACTTAAGGGAAAAAAATTCTGCTGGACTGTTATAATTTGCAATACCACTTAGCTATTCTCAAGTTTCTGAAACACACAAATGAGTAACGGGAAGCTGAGAATTTAAGATTTTGTTTTTTGGCTGTCCTTGGTCTGCCCTTAACTACTTAGGGACCAGAAAGCCTAAGCTTCTGAACAAGTCATGCTGGTTCACTGATGTTAACAAAAACCACTTTAGGCCTAAAGGCTGGTGCCAGATGGAAATGGCTGCACTTCTAACAACAGAAAACAAATTGGAATTCCAAGATAGCAGCTTAACAGTCTAGAGGAAAATGCAGACAGTAAGACCTAAGAATTAATTGACTATTTCAAAATAAATACCATGTTGTTTACAGTAACGACTGTTCAGGATCACATTGGGAGGAGCATTTCAAACTTCAGCATATTTTTTTATTCTTGCAGTTATCAACAGAGGAATGTGACCTTGTTCTGCAAAGCTCAAAAGGCAAATATGCTCTCCAACCATAGTTCTAGTATTTAGGATCTATCTAAAGCTGTCTCCTAAAAACCATATTTGCATTACTGCCATTACTCAGTGTTCTTGGGGCTTGGTTCAAAACCAAGCTCTTTCTAGTCAATTATTTGAATATATTTTGCCTCCATCCTCTCTAGTGCACTGGAAATTGGGCCTTTTTCTTTTTCCATCCTTTATCTGAATGCACTTTATGCAGTATTTAAAATATATAGCTATTTAGGCAAATACTTCTCAATAAAAACTTAGAAGGGATGAAATGAGAAGATATTTTCAAATTATAACTGAGATGAGCAAAGCCTAGACTGTCTAGTACCAATAATAACCAACTTTCAGCAGGTTTTCATATATGAACTCTGCCTCTAAGTTATTGCTTGCAGTCTGGCCACAAGTTCATTGCAATGTTTTACTTTCTCTGTTTAAAATTGTGCCTCTCCTGATGTTTCATGTGCTTAAAATAAATCTATATTTTTAAAAGACTTTACTTGAATATCTGAGTCTCTTTAGTACAGTGGGAAGGGTACTTTGTCTACCATAAGGGGCTGGGGGGAGTTTCCAGGAAATCATGCTTAAGATGTCTTACCTTGGTAAACTCAGTGCAACCTGAAATTGGCATTTTCAGTTCTTTGGATGGTGGCACTTTGCTTTATGGTAGGAGTGGAAGAGCAGGACAGGACCAATACTCTTCCAAAGATTTACTTCTGGTGATTACCTTGACAAGAGGGATTATGATATAAAGGTGTGCAAGTCCATGGAGAGAGAGAGAGCCATTTTTATTGAAAATAAGGTGTCACCATTTACATGTAAAATGAGTGACCTCAACCACAGCTGAGATGTAACAATCATGTCTTTGAGTATTGTGAACATTAGGAGAGTATTTTCTCCCAGTTAGAGGAGAGACAGGAATACAGTTAACTGGAATTCATGTTAATTCTTAGCAAGGATGCTTTTACCTAGCATGTTAACCTAATTCTCAGCTTTTCAACCAGCACTAAACTCTTCAAACATAACTTCTGTTCCAACCAGTAAGGAAAAGATGTGTGGGCAAAGATGACAAAAGAAAGCACTTCAGGGTCTTGTGATGCAAAGGCTTCCCTGCACATACTCCTGCTGAATCCAGCCACATTCAGCACCAGGAGCTGTGCTGTCCAATAGCACAGCAAGTTTGGAGATTTTATGAAAATCTGCAAGTCACATAAGCCTTTTGCACTTACAGCTGAAAAAATTATGTATATAAATCTACCTATCCCTGTAGTTAGAGGAAAGGCCACAAATGGGTTTGGTATGTAGCAGTGATTCAACCATGCTCTGAAGAGAAATTAGCTAAACACTAGAGACACTAACTCAATATACACACATCTGCTGGGCGTGCGGGAAGGGAATGCATTAATTTCTAGGCATCATCGTGCCTCAGGGAGCTTTTAAAAGGACCAAACTAAAAGCAGTCTGCAATAAACAGGCATTACATTAAGTGGTAGAGCAGGAACTAAACAGAAGGAGAAGGTTAAAAATACTAAACAGAAAATGGCTCTCTGTCAGGCATTGAGGGATGACACCTTTCTGCCTCTGACTTCCCGAGGTGTAAATTCATAAGTCTACAGGCTGCTTTAGGATCATTGAGAGTCCTGCACTGCAGAAAGGATATTTGGCCCCATGGCACCATAGAAAAACATCATTTATTGAGTCAGGACCTCTCTGTCT